TGCACCGGACGCTAGCTTTTTTGCGTGGAAGAAGACTAGCGCCCCACATCCAAAATATTGTGGTAGCTTTTGAACCTAGTGCAGTTGCACTAGGGTACATTTTACCCTAAATTTGACCTTTAAGACTAACATTGAGAAAGCGTTATTTTCAACAGAGGCCAGGGTTTATCCTGACGAAGATTTTGAATCCTAAAATCTAGCATCGGTCGGTGACTTCTGGGTAACATGGAGCTCGCTTTCGGTCAGCTTTAAATTACATCGTAACGCTGGCATTGAGAGATATTTCGATGAACGCGAGCCGAGCCCGCTAATAACGTCAGTGTGGCACAATACAGCACTCTCCTTTTGCTCCGGTCCAGTCCCATTTATTTTCAAATGGTATACACACTCGTGATCGCCACACGCGTTTTTGCATTCAAAAGCCGTTGGCGATCCTCCTTTGAATGAGGAAGCCAGTCGTCATCTTTCCTTTCCCCAAGTTAAGGTCCTAAGGTAGGGTTTCTGTCTCCTCCCACGAGATGCAATGATCCGTATTTGAAGTGCTCCGGTTTTTTGCTTCGTTTTAAACTTGCCCACATTTAGAAAAATAGTATTTCATTGCAGTATTTTGCAATGATTAGAACTAAGGCAAGGCAAAAGGGGAGTGCACCGGTGGTATTGTGTCACATTGACCGTGTAAGCGAATTTGGGCTTGGCTATATCATTGCAAAAACGCAGGTGGTGCAAACTAGTGATGAACTTATTAATTTCCTCCTACTTCATATGCTTGTATTTTATCGTGCTTTGTTGTGATACCCGGTTGGTGCATGGATAATATGGATGTGAAAACTTGTGATGCAAAAATGCACGTGTCGCAATAATTTGCGTGATAAGGTTTGTTGTCCAGCATGTCAAGAAGTGAAATTCTACGAATTCAGAGCTGGTGTCATATTTAGTGGGCATCGTATATATTTTGGCGAGCGCTTATGTTAACTCTGCCTGATTTACAAGCGGATCGTCTTTTTTACTTCCGGTGCTTCAGATGCAGCAGTGTGTTGAATTACGTGTGACTTTCATATGTTCTCTTAAAGTGTGTTTAAATGGCATTTCAATGATACGAATTTTGAAGGCTAACGAAGCGATAGAGATTGAAGATGATGGGAAATTGTCTTAGAATAAAAACAAGGTGATCGAAAAGTTGTCTTTTCCTTTCAGTGATGTCCCAGAAAAATGTTTCTCAGCATATGCTAACCACCTCACAAAGTGATGGTCTCCGACCCGCCCCATGTTTTGGGAGAACTCTCACCAAAGTCCCAGTGCCAGATGGTGTTGCTGACTGCATCAGCACCTTACGGCTACATTGTCGCCACGGGATAAAGATCACCTCGAGGCTCATAAGCCTCTCGGCTTAACTAAAGACGTCTCACGGCGTTCTCGTCAACATCTAAAGAATTATTCTTTGACTTACCGGTCGAAAATTTAAATGTGATGATCGTGTCATCTTAATTCATGAATGATAACCATAATGCTCTTGGGTCACCCCGAAGATCCTCACCGCACAGCTGGTCAATAAAATAGAGTGAACAGATCGCATTAAAAGCGTGGGTCGCAGGATATAGAGGCCCGTAATCAAATTGCAGCACAAGTTTGCTATTTTGTTGGATGTTGGCACTGTGATTTTATAGGGTTGAGTTAACCAATGCCCGCCGCTGCCTCATCCTGCAAGTTGACCCGGCTTGACCGGAGCGGGCCTCTGATTGGTTGGAATCCCACTGTCACGCGAACACGTGCCGTGTGATGATTGGTGGGGTCGGGCGAGCTCAGCGCGGCGGCGAGGTCGGTCCGAGCGAGGGACGGGGTCGGGGGAGTGTGGCAGGTCATGAGACAGGTGTGCGGTTCTAGGGTAATGGAGTGACCTGCGAGCTTTGAGTACTTGTGAACCCAGCGTGTGATGTGCATTAAGACTTGCAAAACTTTGGTGTGGCTCAAGCTCCCAAATAGCCCAAATTAGTACAGGTGATGCAAAATTTTCCAAGGATTTATGTGGTCAAAAGCTAGTTTAATCACGAGAAGATGTTGGCATTGCAACGCCTGCAACGGGGAGGGGGAGGGGGGTCATCAAGTTCAGAGGCCTAAGCTTATCGTTAAAGCGGGGAAGAGGCCCAAGCACTCCAAATGAAATTGATTCCACACCCCTGATTAGTAGTATCCTGCCTTCACTGTGTTGGAGCCCTGGCCATTTTGGATGCCACGACCGTTTGGTTTCCTGACTCGGAGGCTCTGTGTCCATTGACTATTTGGTCTCTGCTGCGGTGGTATGGTTTTGACTCATATCGTAGCCCGCTGTCTGCTAGGGCCTGACACGATTGCGAGCCCGCCCACGCCTCGCGACGATGTTTCCGCGCAATAAGGTGCCAAAATGTTTTATCCTAGCTATTTTAGTGTCCTAGGCATATCCCCATCAAGATCATTGGGACAGAAGAGTATAGTTCCCCTGCGGAAGAAAGATCACAACGTGTAAGGCTATATTTAATGGTTTCTAGCGATTCTGCGTGGTGATTTGTATCCAGAATCGTGGGGGCCGAGGCGAATGATGTGGCGCAAGGCCCCTCCAAAGCAGTAGGTACAATAATCCGTCCATCGGTCGTCCTCAGTGTCCATGCGTCTTTGGTGTGAATAATGAATAGACGGCCTGGATTCGAGGCATGTTTATGGTTGCGAGCCATCTAAAAAACGTTGTACTCGAGGCGGTCCCCCCCCCCCCCCCCCCCTCATCCTGAGCACTGCGGTGCAGTAGGAGTGCCAGGTAATATACCGTGCTGCCATCTATCGTACAGTAGACTAACGGACAGACGCCGTCGCAGGATTTACTCATACGACTGAATTCAATAGCATTATTCCTGCCCGGTGTCAAAACCTGGCGGTCATTGTGCTCTCACAACACTACATTGACTATCTTGAGCTTAACAAAGTACGTGCCCCTTCTCAGATAACAACCAGGTATGCTCCAGCCCCATTCCGCCCGCCTAAGGTATCGTGTCAGCGTTTCAAAGTGGGGTTGGTGTATCTGTGGAAGCACTCGCTAACTGGGCTCATATCACTACTGTCGTCCACCGAACAACAAGGCGAATATTCTACGAACGTAATTTCGAAATCGTGAGTGACGGCATGCGTCACTCCCAAATGTTAAACAACAAATGCTTGCGGGCTTGCTTCGCTACGCGACGGAGTTTTTATTGACGATCTGTGCTTGCACCATGAGCTTCCCTCGCCGACCCCACCTCTGGCTGCCGGAATGCCTGCCTGATGTGCTGGGTGTGATGTGCTGGCAACCAGAGACGTAGGTGGCTCCTGGGATACAAACACATCAGTAAGCCAGTTTTTCGTGTCGCGTCATGGGTTGAATCGCTTGCAGTATTGTATGGAAATTGATGGGCGACTGGTCACTCAGCCTTCGCTCTCTTCGCCCTCTTCGCCCTCAGCCTTCACCCTCTTCTTCTAAATTATCCAAAACATAAATTGCTGCATTCTTCTGCAAGGACATGCGATCTGCCCACCAAGACGCAGCCAGCTATTGATCAGCTTTCAAGTCTTTCTTTCCAGATTTGAACAGCGGTTGAGGCGTCGTTACGCATTCCAAAAATTCACTAAGGCCACACTCTCCGCCTCTATAAAGACCAGATCTCCCTTCTTTCGCCACTGCCATTTGTCAATGTTGCAATGTTTCTGTGCTGTCAGACCCTTCAGTGACTCCGAAATGCACCCCGCGAAGCCGATGAGAGTGCTGTTGTACCGTACCAATTAGGTCCCCTGAAAAGTTACCGCATTTCTTGGGTTCTCTTATCACACCCGTTGCACGCTTTCCTTCATTCGAGATGTATAGTTTCTCTGACATTCCTCAAAGCAAGGAGCTCGGGTGACGCATTTGGTCGTCGCTATGGCTCACCTTTCTCTCCGCAATGAATGTATGAATGAACGAATGAGGGCTGCTGGACGCCGGCCACATATCGTGAGAGCGCGTTTCCTCGTTTTACTAAAAAAAAAACTTGCCCCAGCGGCAGAGTAATCAACCGGTGACATTTTGTCGGAGAAAATATGGAATTGCAGCCCTTTAAGCAAAGTCGATACACGGGGAGCACAGTGCATTTCTTGCAGTGCACAGCGCACTCAACTTAACTTTCCGACAGTGGGCGTGAATTTCCAGGCTGACAGACAAACCGACAGACCGACAGACCGACCAACCGACAGACCGACAGACCGACAGACCGACGGACCGACAGACCGACCGACAGACCGACCGACAGACCGACAGACCGACGGACCGACAGATCGACGGACCGACAGACCGACAGACCGACAGACCGACAGAACGACAGACCGACAGATCGACAGACAGACCGACAGACCGACAGACAGACCGACAGACCGATAGACAGACAGACAGACAGACAGACAGTACAACCAGCCGGGAGCAGAGACGCCCAACATTACCGGTGCGCGTGAGCGGTGGAGAAGAGGGAGGGATAAAAGATGTTTCACAATCCGTAACGTAGTGTACGGACGTTTCCCAATGGCAATGTCGTAGCACTTTTTGATTCCGTGGGATCCGAAGACTGGAGAATGATGCTGATCGTGTGGCCCCTCATCAAGCAACTGCCCAACAACTGGTGATACTTTGTGCACGGCGCTTGATCAAAAAGGTCACCGTTTGATTGCACTGAATTGCATGAGTAACGCCACACATCTGCCTCCACCGCATGAGGGGTTATAGGGAGAGATGCGGCGACAAGACGGATTTCCGTCTATTTTGGGCCTTTGTCAAACAATGACCAGAACAGATGCGATCCGGCGCGTGGGTGGCAGGACGCGCCGGCCGAAGAGTTGGCGGCCTGCCGGGCTTCTGTCGCCTGGTGACGCGCCGGCGTGGCCGCCCTGCGATTGGCTGACGGTCGGGAGGCGTGGTTTACAATTTCTGGGCTATGATACACCATCTGAAGCATCTGAAGAGCTTTAGTTGCCCAGTCGCACTCGTGAAGCACCAGAACGACTCCATCATACATGTCCACAGGTGAGGGTGGCCCCATGGGCTGCAAGCCACCAGCGTGTGTTGGCGTGCACTTTATGTCCGTAACTCACCGAAACTGACGTATCAACGGGGCTGTCGGAAGACGGAGCGAAGCCCACCGGATTGTTGTTATGGATGATCTCCGGCTGTGTAGCTATAGAGATGGAGCCTTTGTGGACCGCAGTGCGCTGGTTAATGTGTTCTCGAGGCATTAGAAAAGTCTCCTTCGGAGAGTCAACATTGTGGCGTGCAGTGAAGGAAATCGGCCAAAGACATCGCCACTCAGGATGTCTGATGCAGAACTCTAGGGTAAAAATTGCGCTGAAGTGGTTGGGGGGCGAGCTGTCAGCTGCGCTCTTAAAATACTGCGCATGCCGGTATCCCCATTTTTGAACATACAGTGCCGTTTTGCTTCTCATATGTTTGACGCAGAGTCATAGCCAAAAATTTCCTGTTTGGGGGCGGAATGTTAAATTGTGTCCGTTAATAGATCTCAGATGTTTTCCTTTGATACTGCTCCCCATCTAGTGAAGAGCTCTTGTCCTTGGAAGGACCCTGGCTCTCAAACCACCCGCTGATTACGTTCCTGGTGTAGTTTCATGCGCCTTGCTTGGCAAAGAATCTGATCTCCCACTATAAATCAACAAAAGACCCTTCATACTTCAATCGACGTGGGTTGTTCCGTTCCATCAACCAGGAATTAGAGACATCGACGAGTAAAGTTTCTGATCCTTGCGGCCTTAGTTTTATGCTTGCCGCCAACTTACAGGTGAATCTTGTATGAGCTGAGTTGTTAAATTTCGAAGTCGCTCCACGTGGCTCACGTTACATTCGCTTCGCGGAGTGACATGTTGGGTCGGATTGGTTGCCACCGTCAATAAACTGGACCTTAACCCCGATTATCTTGAGAGGCTGGCACTCAATGGCACTAAGTTTCGATGGCGTTCGGAAACTTTAATAAAAGAACAAGAGCGTAACGGCTCGTACCATTTCCGTGCACTGCAGGTGTCGCCTGCGTGTGGGCTGTTCCCTGAGAGTGATACCGTGATTTCACAGCACAGTGGTATCTGTTGGAGTGTCTGCGTCGGACCGAACGCTTTCCAAAGTGTGCACGGTCAGACATTCCGGCATTTTCCCTCATAGCTTGGCTTGCCATGAGACAGCCATGAGAGGCTCTGCTGGCTCTGCATCAGCTGCGAGTAGTTCGCGGAAGACCTGGCTTGCGCTTCGCAGTGTTCTTCCGTTCAGTGTGGCAACGGGCGCGGACAGGTGAGAGCGGGTGTTGCACAGTCCCATGTACAGAGCGACAGGCGCGGACAGAGGAGAGCGGGTGTTACACAGCCCCATGTACAGAGTGACACGAGCAGTGCATGGGCGTCTCAAGTGTACTGTGGTGCAGCCGGCGAGACCCGTGGCCTGAGACGCGACTGTGTGGCACGTCGAGGTCGGGCTAGCACGCAGCAAACAGGCACTAGCTGTGGGAGGGCAATGACGAGTACACACAATGACAGACGAACAGCTGAGGTACCTGCCCAAGAGTCCGCTTCATTTCCCCTCGCTTCACCACCCGCCAAGTCTCTCAGGTACGATTTCACGGCGTGGTCTAGTTCAAACCACGCAGTTTAAGACACGATTTCGCTGCCGTGGGAAACACACGGGTGTATCGAATAGTGTGCTGTGTTGCAGCATTCGTCATGAGGTACTCAACTTCCCTCCCCTTCAGCACTGGAAGGGGAGTAAGAACCCGCTCTTCCTTCCATCTTTGTCTACCTGCAAATGGTTTCCCAGCGAGTCATGCAAAATAACAGAAATAAGGTCGCTCGAAGCTATCTTGAGATTGCAGGTCGCCAAAGTCAGCATCGTAGCCGGCGCCGTGCCGCCCACCAGCCCAGCTGGTAAGCCGGGGCACGTGTAACCACGCTTGGTCTTTGAAATATTGACCTGGGGTCATCAGCTTTTTACACTGTTTAGATCCCTTAGTAAATGTAGTGTCCAGCATGCTGCGCTTGTCTTCAATCACACGCTTTCTGTTCGTGTCACGTGGAAACCTAAATATAATTTCGCCGCCTAAATAACGCGCCCTTTCCCGTCCGATCCTGCGCCATTCCCCTTTGCTTAGAAATATCATCACGTCTACCAATCACATCACTGGGGAAGGATCACTGATGATTGAGAAAGGACCGGGCTGCAGACGAGCGCGTACCTCACCTCTCGACAGGGACTTGGGTACCAGGCGAGGGAATGGGGCCAGTGGATCGCAGAGATATCAGTCCTAAACTTTAGCAATTTAGCAAGCATTGTTCTGGCCTGTCAAGCAAGGTGACAGACGGCTGTAGTTATTGCTTAACAGCAAACAATGAACAGCAGCGTGGCATCAGCCCGTGTCGCATCACCAGTTTATTGTAATCAGTTCAACTAGCTGCCCGCCTTGTGTTCTCCAACTCGGGGACACCGATTGCGCCCAAGCCTAAGGCTATAGGCTTGGTTAAGGAGACGTAGCTGGGGAAGCCTTAGATGGAGCAGAAACCGCTCCGCTGTATCTAAGCACCGTCATGCCACCTCTCCTTCAGTCCACGTGGTCATCTTCTGTGTACCCAGACGCGGTCCCGTTTCACATACCGAGCGGCACAATCTTGAAATATCTCCGACGTGTTGTGGGGCGGCCATTCTCTGGCGGTGCAGTGATAACGCAGTGTTCACTGCTGGGAATCAGCTGAAACTGGACTGAGGAACGCCATAGACTTTATCAAGCACCTCTGCTTGTGAAAGATCATGTCGCCGACTTGAGACTCCGTTGTACACACGTGTTTGTGTATGTCATTGCGGCTTTACGATGCACTCAGCTGGTGACGCTATACGGCGTCGCCTGCTTCTTACTCTGGCAGGAAGGGCGGGAACCGGGAGGAATCGAACCCAGTGTACGAATGTAGGGTGCGTAATGCGTGTGCCTTTTCATGTTAGCCCTGATATCTGCTGCTTTCCTACTGATGCCCCGGCAGGAGAAGAAGCACAGTCTCACGACCGGCACCCGCATTCTTGTCTAATGTTTCCTCCCTGTCTAATATTTGAGCAGAAGTTTGGCGAATGCTTCCCTTGTCGAGAGGTGTGACAAAGCCCGATAAGCTGCCAGGCGCTTGTGCAGTTTTGTTTACAGCTAAAGTCCTGCATCACGACGGCTGAAGAATTGCGACAAGTTCTTTATGCAGGTCTTCATCTTGAGGGGATACCCCCTCTAAGGGGGACCTGCGATGTTTGAGCCTCATGCATTTCACAATGATTGATAAGTGTTTGCTGTCAAAGGGCGATTTGATATCGTCATCAAGTTGGTTACAGATACCAAAAAGGGTATAAGATTATCCAGTTCCGCGATACAGGTTTCGACTTCATCCTCCATATTGGAGATCGCCCTGCTGGAATCCACCACTGGAAAATGAAAGTACGGACCCATGACAACAAGCGCACGATAATTGGTCTTCTCACCGTCGTCGAGTACACGGTATAAGTTACAGACCAGTCTCTGTCAAGGTCCGTCAGGCAGCCGTCTCTTCTGGACGGGCTCACGAACATGACTATTTCTGGCCGCCTAACAAACTAGACACAAAATCACAGCTTCTTCCACCATCTTGTCTATACCCGGATACCACGGGAGGCTCACATCAAGCGTCTTGTTTTCCTTGTTCCTTGGCGCCCTCCACATCCAAAGCCATCAGGCCTTTTGTGAGCACCTCCGGGTCAAGATTATAGATCTCAGTGCGTCATAACACTTTGGGCTAATGGAGGACTTCAGTTCTTCGAACCCGTGAGGCTGAGCTCAGACGTTAGGCTGATACAGCTCGGCTTCCGAACTGACGGAAGTTAAGTACAATCCTGGTAAACTCGTATGTGAATTGCACTGAACAACGGCTTTCTTTTTAAGCGTGTGTATGCTTTATTTTCCCTATTCAATTTACACAATGCGTTTGGTGACTCCATGCAATCTTCAGTGGTTGTTTTTGTTTTTGTTTTGTTTTTTGGCTGAAACCATGAACACTTCTCATTAGAACTAAAATGGTTTCATCATACTCAAAAACTGGCCTCAAATGGATTTAGCACCCGATCTCAGTTGAAGTCACCCTAAAACTAGATTTTCCAGACAAAAATCTGGCCTCTATTAATACCTACCGAAAGCCTCAAAACGAGTTGTCTAATAAAATAAGGCAAATGAAATCTGTAGATGGATTCGTCCTAATAATACAACCCAGATCATAAAATACAAGAACTCCGTCTATCATACTTATTTCTACGAACAAAACCCGCCTCGGCTTTCGCCTCAGGTCGTTTTTAGCATACAATATTTTATAACACCGCATACATTGTATTATGCATTGCAGAGTCGCAGTATAACAAGCATCACGCACATAAAGAAAATGAAAGACCAGCCATGACGTCCGAGCAGTCTATTCGACAGCGGCCATTCCTGGCTCCTCGCGGCCCGGGCGCCTCAGCCGGACGTCTTAAGCACATGAAACAAAATGAACGCTCGTAACTTCCGGACAGTTTGGCTCAACATTCCTGACATCTCCTGGTCCGTCGCGTCTCACGGTGCTCGGTAAAACGCATCAGTCAAAGGTTCGCAACGAACTGAGAACCGTCGTCCTCTGGGCTGGCCGTCGGCATGTGCCACGCTGCTCCTCGCTGATATTGAGGCATGTTCGCTACACGGAAGTAGCGGCAGCACTGTGACGTGCTCCCCGCGGCTCTACACGACAGTGGTGTGGACCACAGCTCACAGCATTATGTCGTCTCGGGTTTGGCAGTATCCTCCCACCTCATTTGTGCCAGTGTGCCATGTGCGTGGATGAGAGCCATTCTGGCACCTCTGGGTAGCTTGGCCAGCTTGGGGTCCCTGACGCTCTCCTTCTCGGGGTAGACGGCAACGCTGGTGAAGCTCCAAACCCCTGGGCTAATCCCATCGCTTTTCGCTATATGGCGGCAACCGTGCTGACGTGGAAAGAACCTGAGAG